TGAGATTAGATTGATTTCCTTGTTACTGAACCAAGATGTACCCCATGGCTTTGATGTGTTTGTCTTCATTATATGGATCGTGCTTTGCTTCGTTCCCATACGTGTATTTACCATACCCACCTGTGCCAAAGCCAATTATAGAATTACAACTGTTGCAATCGTTTTCCGCGTTGTTAGCAATGATACGGATTCTTGCTTTGGAATGAGATCTGCTTCCCACAACATTAAACCCTTCCTTGTTACAATATTTTTGTAAGGATGCCTCAGAGGCAATCAGCGACTTCCACGTGTCAAGAGCCCGTGACGTTTTACGATATTGCCCGTCAGCGATCAGTAGGAACAAAGAGCTGGCTTGCTCTTTGATGAGAATGAACCTGAGGAGACTGCCGAGTTTCATCCCCAGACAGATCTTGGAGAAGGATGTGTTCCAGTAGGTCGGTAGTTTGGTCTCTGGTAAGTAAAAAACCAGTCTCGCCTCCTTGAGGATTGAAGTCATCCATGTTACTCCAGAGATTCGAATCATAGTGGAAGCTTGACTATATACATGGGTTCAGAGTTGAAATGAGTTGAACGATGATTGAATTCATATGCAGATAAGAACTAAAACGAATAGAATGAGAGAACGAGAGAGACAACAGACTTTTGTGCCGTCCATTTTCATTACCATTGTCCATCCACCGCCCCCGCAGCCCTCAAGGTCAGGAGTCATGAGACAGTAAACCATGACCTTTCTATGATCCACCCTAAGTGAATAAGCTCTGTTTTCCTGTGACATGAAGTAAAGCCGTATTTTTCTACGTGTTAATTAATTGTTCATATCTTTGTTGATTTACTTTTGACCACCTAGAGTAATAACTATACTCCAATTAACTAGTTGGTAAGGTTAAGAATATTCGACTTGAGATTATGACGTACGAACCGAGCGTTGCTCTTTCTTTTTCTTCATTTCTGCGATCAGGTCTGTGCCGATGTGATCAGGTCTGTGTCTGTGTCTGTGGTCTGGGGCGTGAGGTTTTTTCCTGTCAGAGTTATACGGGGATTTTATATGAAATTTTTTCACACAGTAAGTTTACTTATTACACAACACAGCTCTTCAAAGTCTCGTTAGTACACCTAATACTGCAGAATTGATAAACATGTTGCAAAATAAGAATATGCGCTCTTAGTGGCAACCATCATGATGTTTTGCAAGACAAAAATGACCCTTTTTTGTAAAAAAAGAAAAATGTAATCTTAAACAACCATCCTCCTATGACGACCTCTGCTTTAAAATCACCAGTTTTTTCTGTGCCCAAGAGACCTTATTTCTACTGTGTTGTTGTATTTCTACATTTACACCCAGAGACTAACCAACCTTTAAAAAAAATTATCAATATTGATGTACCTTTGACTATTGTAAATTTTTGCACACAAATGAAACGGACCTGTACTAAGATAAAGTACAAAATTACAAAGGTATTAAGCATATTTTTGAGGTATATCTGTATAATACACAGCCTAATTTGACGATGTTCACGCTTTTAATAAATTGATAAAAATCTGTAACATAAATCTTTTTACATAAAAACAGAAAATTGAGGCGAAACGAAAGAAGCAGAAAAGGACAACATCCTGGCGTGCAGTGAACGAAAAAACCAGACAAAATCTCGGAGTGGTATTCATATGGTAGAACCATCACTCTTGGTTGTGGAGACATTTTTGATTAATGGCCTCCATGCTGGATCAATTGGATCAGCGCTCGAGCTATCTCATCAGATTACTCATACTATGAAAATTTTACCTTCGCACGTCAATCCATGGTATCCAGGTTTACATGTGCATTTGTAAGATCCCTTAGTATTTTTACACACTGCATCAACCCTGCAGCTGTGTGATTCCGCGACACGCTCATTAATATCTGAAAATAATATTGCTTGTTTTATTTATCAATGATATGTGTAATAGCTTCCAACTTCACGATTGTTTAATTTTCTTTATTTTTTTCTTTTTCACTGCTTTTCCTCAGCCCCTTTCATCCCTAGGATATAAAAGTCGTAAAATCCAACCAAGCCCTAACCCTAACCCTAACCCGCATCCTTAGGATATAAAAGTCTACTGAAAAAAAGTCTACCCTGAACTTGTTTACTCTTACTTTACTTACCTTCGCAGGTCACTCCATATCCATGGTATCCAAGTTTACATGTAAAATTTGAAGACGGTTTGAAAATTTTCATTTCCCAAGATGTTTGATTCTTACAGAGACACGTTCTTAAAAGGGAAAATTTGACATGTGACTTGTTGATGAAAGGAGTTATCATCGTTATGAGCTACATGTGGGGAAACTCTCTCCTAATACAGTCATCATACTCCCAAACTGCTTTATTTTAATTTTCCATGGCTTTTACTACCCCCATAGTTGAACCTTCTATATTACGTCGCCCTAAAGAGATCATCAGTGTCAGACGAGAGATTAAAGAATCGTAAAAGAAAGTCATTCGAGCTCTAAGTGGAAAGACCTAGAAAATGATCGAAATGTCTTTGAGATTATATAAAAC